CCCCCTCTTAAAAAAAAAAAAAAAAAAAGTCTCTCTCTATAGATCACCTGCCTGTCATGGTGCTCTAGCCACAGGACTGGTGGTCCTGGTATCCCTTCCTCCTAGCCACAGTGACAGATCCAAGGGATGATAAGGACAAGGGAAGGTCAATCGGACCCTCCCATCAGACTCAGTAAGTAAAGGCTGCCCTTGGTCACTCTTCCTTTAGATTTTCTAAGGTAAAGGTACAAGCTTGGATGTCTTCCTAGTCACCTCTCCCACCATGTAGAATTTAAAAACAAACAAACAAAAAACCACTGCCTGAAAATAAAGCCCATCTGGAGAGGAAAACAGCCCTGACAGCATTATTAGTCCTGCGCGGTACAGGCCTGAGCCTGGCCCCCTCCTGGGCTCTGCTTGTGTAAATCAATACATTCTTCATGCTGGAGCTGGTGTGGTTTGGGTTTATGTTATTTGTCACACAATGAGTCCTGCATAATGCTCTGTCCGGAGACCCTGACCCCATTAGGGACCTCTGCATCCCTATTAGACAAGCTAGGAGTGCGTGAGACTCACGGCCAACAGGGACACGTCCAACTCTCTGAGTGGTGGCTCTTTACTCTGCATTTTGACCTCTGGACTTTCTTCCACAGACTGTGAAGAGGTGGAGGTATGTGACATGCAGGCATTTCCCAGCTGCACAGGGACAGGTGAAGGGACCACCAGACACAGATAAGGCAGGCTGGCAGCAATCCCCAGCAGGCCCCCGCAGTCTGCAGTTCAGGACCATTCAGGAAAGGCGCTTCCCTTCTGCTTTATTAATTTGGCCTCCTCCTGTTAGCCCCCAACACCGCCCAGCCCTGTACATCCCAGGCTGCACACCAGTGCAGAGGGTGAGAGAAGCAAGAAAAGATCCCCGAGCCAGGTTTACGCTTCTACTTTGGGGAAGACAAAGGCTTCTTTCTGCAGATGGCTCAGGCCTAACTCAATTCAAAAAGGGAGATTCAGACAGAACTCAGTGCTAAATGCTGAGAGAGGCAAAAAGCAGGAAAGGCCAACGGTGCCAGCCCTCCTGAGGAGGCAGCTTCCAGTGCTGCGCACATCCCAGGGGCTGTGGGGTAGAAAGGATGGGGGGACAGAGTAGCCTGGGGACCACAATTCTGAGAGCTTTGTGGAAAGACTTATTCATCTGTACTGTATGCCAGGCTCTGTGGAAAGCCTGGGGGACGATGGAGGGGACTTCCAGGCTAAGGCAGTGACCAGGCAAAGGGAATGTGGTCATGCTCAGAGATGGTGTGCTAGAGAGAGGGACAGTGGGCCAAAAGTGGGGCTCTGGTCAGAGGTGATGGGAGGAGGAGGTAAATCTCAGAGGAATTTTAATGGAAGGAACTGGATGGGGAAAGCAACATGAAAAACAGGAGACTGAGTGTCACTGAGGACCACTGAAATTGTGCCCAATGTCCAACTCAAGAGCCATTCAGCTTGGATTAACACAGAGCAACATGTGGAAGCTTCCTATACCAACTCCAGTCCTCAAACTTTTAAAATGAAAGTTTGCATGTTGAGGTTTTCACAGACCTTTCTGGAATCTATTTTTGTTTTCAGCTGAGAGCTCCTGTACAACCTGAGCACTATGTTCAGAGCCCAGGCTCTGGAATATGAACCAGGGTTTATTATTCATTATCTGTGTGGCCTTGCATGAGCTACTTAACTTCTCTGGGCCTTGGCTTCTTTATTTTTAAAATGAAGTTAATAAAAATAATACCTACTCTGTGAGGTTGTTGTGAGGATTAAATGAGATAACGCATGGAAAGTGCTCCAATCAGGTATATAACAAGAGCTCACCAGGAGGTGGTTACTAAAAGTTATAGCAGTAGCACCAGTTTCAGACATTTACTCCTGACTATGTAGAAGGGACCTTCTGTCTCTGCCACCTGAAGATGGGTCCCAAGTCTGCTATTCTCCCAACACAGCTTGGTCTGTTTGGGTCCCAGAAGCTGGGATGCCTGGAGTCCCAGTCCTTCCTTGCTTTCATGGTCTGACTATGCTAAGGAGGAAGAAAAGACACGAGGGAGATCTAGAAGGTGTCCACTGCCCCTCTTAGGTACTCGACAGCCTGTTTGGGGGGCCTATCCTAAAGAGGGGCACCATGGTAGCCCTGCAATCAGTTGGCTGGTGGGGCTGGGCCTTGCATGGCTATGCCCTAGAGGTGCCCGAGTCCAGTGGCTTTACCTGGGCCACACTGCCTTCTGCCCTCTGCAGCACTTGCTCTGAAAGATCCTTCTGGAGAGCCACAAACGTGCGCAGGATCTGGCCCAGCCACTGCATAACCAGTTGGTTAAATTGTGGGAGCTCGGCCACCAGCAGGGAGTTGAGGGCCTGGTAGGTGTGCCGAGCCGCCTCTTCCTCATATGTCACGTTGCCCACCTCCAGCAGCTTCTCTTCCACCCGCTCAAAGTCCAGCAGCTTATCGAGACGTTTCTTGATCAAGTTCTGAGGGCCGGCCAGGGCTTTGGCCAAGCTGCACAGTGGCCTCCACACCAGGCCTTCCAGCCGCTGCTTCTGTGGGGAGGGAAGAACTTGGGAGGTGGGCAGGGAGGCAGCTGGGGGCCGGGGCTGGGAGAAGGGGCTTTGGAGGCAGGTAGGCCTGGGTTCCAGTTCCCCCTTCACCAACTGCCTGTGGCCTGCAGCACGTTATCTCATCTCTCCAGGCCTCTGTCTGCAGGTCTGAAACGTAGGGATGGCTGACAATGAGCTTGTGAGTGAGAGTGCCTGGCACAGAAGAGGCACTCACTTTATGTCCCTTCAGTATCATTACTGTGCAAAGATCTTGAAAAATAGTTTTTCAGAGGGTGACAGTCAAGAGCACAGTCTTTGGGACTCAGACTCCAGCACACTACTGACCATCTGTATAAAAACCCAAGAGGAGCTGGGGTTATGGCTCAGTGGTACAGCGCTTGCCTCACATGTGTGGGGCACTGGGTTTGATCTTCAGCACCACATAAATAAATAAAATAAAGGCATGTGTCCTTCTGCAGCTAAAAATTTTTAAAAAATGTTCAAAAAGAATCCAAGAGATCACATCCTCTGAGGCTCAAGCTCTCATCTGCAGAATGGAACTATTAATAGTATCACCCTCAAAAGCATGTGCTGAGGAGTTCATGAGGTAAAGAATGTAAAGGACTTGGCACAGCGCCCGGCAGAGAGTGAGGCTCAATAAACATTAGCGGGGGCTATTTTTATCAGCAAATGCACTAATAGTAATCCCTACCCTGCTGACCAGAGCACTTATGGATGTGGCAATTGTGTAAAGTGCCTGACTTCTAAATATTATCCTTGTAGGCTCTGCTACCTGCCTGGCAAAGAAAGGAGAAAAGTTCCACTTACAAACTCCAGGAAGGCCTGGCGTTGAAGGTCTCTGGACAGGCTGCTGTACTGCTCCACAGGCCCTCCGGGGATGTCCAGATTGCATTCATGTGGCCGGAAGCGGAGGAAAGCCTGGACTCAGGGTCAACAGGACACATGCAGTCATGGCTCATCATGGTCATCTTCCCCCTGATCCCCTGCAGCCAAGCTCTGGAAGAGCAGCAGCCCAGGCCCTCGGCACCCCGCCACCCCCATCACAGGCAGGCACACAGCCTGTTCTTGGGTGATTATGAATTCTTCCTGAGACTGAGTCAACATCTTTCCCCCTCTGCCAGCACTTCTGAACTTCAAGCATTTGCAAACCACCTGTGATTTTTTTGCTATGTCTACATTCTGCATATTTCTATTAATACTTTTCCAACTATTCTTATTTAAATCAATGCATTAAAAAAATACCTTACGATGTTACCACAAAGGGAAAAACAGTAATAACTGCCATAGACACAGGAAAATAATTGCCATAAAAACAAAACAATGTTAATAAATTCTGCCTGGGTACTGATGCCTACTGAAGACCCCTGAACCTGTGACTTCTTGCACACATGTGAAAGATGGAACAGTGCAGTTGGGCACAGTGGTGCATGCCTTAATCCCAGCAACTCTAGAGGCTAAGGCACGAGGATTGCAAGTTCAAGGCCAACCTTAGCAATTTAGAAAGGCCCTAAAGCAATTTCGCAAAAATCTCAAAATTTTTAAAAATGAAAAAGGGCTGGGGAATGTAACTCAGTGGTAAAGTGCCCCTAGGTTAAATCCCAAGTAACCCCTCTCGCACTCCCTCCCCCCAAAACAAGATGATCAGCACAGAGGCTTCTCCTTGACTCTGTTGGAGGGTAAAAGACAGAAGCCCTTTCTTACTGTGGGATTCAATGTCAACACTGCATCTGTTGTATAAGCTGTGTAAGTCCTGCATCTAAGCAAACACAGCTTTGATGCTTCCAAATGTTCATTCTGCTGCCAAATACCCCTCTGGCTTCTCTCTGTCGAGGCCCAATACCTGCAGGTCCATTCCCCCTCTTTCTTGACCTGCCTCTGAGCACCTATCCCTTCTGCCTCACTGTGCCATAATAGGATCCTGGCTGCTCAGATCCTTGCACTGGGGACTCCAGATGAAGCATGGGCCAGCAGGGCCATCCGACCCCCATAAAGAGGAGTGTGGACCCAAACTTCCAGTAAGGCCACCCCAAAGCCCAAGTGGTCTGTGCCAATGAATGGGACTGAGGTAACACTGCCCAGGGGGCCATGCAGACAGAATGAGTCAGCACCAGTGACGGGGAAAAGAGGAATACTGGCCAAGAGAAGTGACAATCTGGGTGGCATACAAACTGGTGGCCCTGTGGGCTGAATTTGGTTTGAAAAGATGCATTTTCTAGGGCCCACAGAACATTTAAAATTTTATTTAATTAGTTCTTACATTGACATGTCAGGATGTCCAGGGTATTCTTTCCTTAAAATCAGAAGATCTAGCCACACGGGGCCCACATTCCTATACATCAATTGTCAACCAGAGTCAGGTAGCAGCTCTTCCTTTAGATCATTCATTCATTCATTCAGCCTCCAAATTTCTTTGATTGAACCCAGGAGCACTTAACCACTGAGCCACATCCCCAGCCCTTTTTATTTTGAGACAGGGCCTCACTAAGTTGCCTAGGGCCTCACTAAGTTGCTGAGGCTTGCTTTGAATTTGCAATCTTCCGGCTTTAGCCTCCCAAGTTGCTAGGATTAAGGCATGTGCTACCATACCCACCTCAGCCTCAAAATTTCAAACACTATATTTAAGTCTATTGAAAATGTCTCATAGGCAGCCTGTTGGATGTCAGGCTCCTGCTGGGTCCTATTGCTTCCCTGCCTCACTGTGCTACAATAGGATCCTAGCTGCTCAGATCCATGCACTGGGGACTCCAGATGAAGCATGAGCCAGCAGGGCCACCTGACACCCACAAAGAGGAGTATGGACCCAGACTTCCAGTAAGGCCACCCAAAATCCCATTATCCACTGAGCCCAAGTGGTCTGTGCAAATGGACCAGACAACATCTTTCCCCCTCTGCTAGCACTTCCGAACATCAAGCATTTGCAAACCACCCACCGCCAAAGAGACCTCAATAGTGGTACCTGCCTGTACTCTATCTGCACTGCAGTCTCTCTCCCCTGATCCAGGCGCTGGTCTCTCTGGGGGCCTTGGACCCCATTGAACTCTGACCTGCTTAGCAAGAGATGCGCCAGGGCTAGCTGGTCCTGGGCTGAGGTGTTTGCTTGCGCTGCTGACTTGGATCGGCCCATCCACATCTCCCTGTAGCTGCTGCTAGTCCAGACCCACCTGTTCTTAACCCTGCAGGGTCCTCACCTCCAGATTATCCAGGTAAGCGGCCACATTGCTCTTCAGCTCGGTCACACACAGGGACACCCATTGGAACCTCTCCTCTAGGTCATCAAATTCCTTGTCTTCTGTCTGAAAGTTACACATGTGAGGGCTGAGAAAAGCCACATGGGGGCAGTGTACAACTGGCTCCCTTGTCCCATGTCCTCACTGGGAGCCATCTTTCCACAGACCCACCTACATATCAGGTTCCTGTAGCTCCAAAGCTGAGTGGGACAGTTAAAAGGCAGTGTAGCATAATAGTTTTGCATCCACATCATGGAATCAGACACAGAAGCATGAATTGGTTCCTAGCTTCCTAACTGTGTGACCATGGACAAGTGTTTTACCCTCTTGGAGCCTGTTTTCTCATTTGCAAAATGGGGACAATAAAAACACTTCACTGTGCAAATCAAATAATGTTCATTCAAATAATTACTGGGAGCTACTTGTCAAGAACCAAAGCCTAGCTCTCTTATCTCTAACAAGGACCCTGACAACCAGGAGCCCTACGCTGGCTCTTCAGAATTGGGCATTTCATTTTCAGGCTCAACTGGTTCACTTCCGAAAGGAGCTTAAGCCTCCCGCCCACCACTGCACAGGGTCAGGTACCTTGGTGGCTGTGGGGACTGTCCCTCCCCTGCCCATGCTCACCCTGGGCACCAGCCCTGCTTCTTGCTTCAGCAGCTGGCTCAGCCGGGTAGTCTTCTTGGAGAGGGTGTGCGTGTTGATGCGGGCCAGCCGCTCCCGGAGGCTCAGAGGCTCCACCCTGGTGTACTTGGAGGCTGTACCAACAGAGAAGAAGGTGGGCACCTTGGGTGACCCCGGCAGACCCAGGAGAGCAAGCATCCCTGATGTGCTGGCTGGGGATCACATTCACCAGGCCAGCAAATCATACAGGGAAAGCTGTGCTAGGGTCCTCAGTCCCTGCTGTGAGCCCTGGATGAAGAGCTGGGCTTTGCTGGACTTTGGCAAGTTACCACTCCTTCTGGCCTCGGTTTCCTCATCTGTAAGATGAGGCTGGCTGCCTCTTAGGATTGCTGGGAGGATCACATAAGACAGCAGGTACAGAGATGTCCTAAAGAAGAACCCAGCAAGAGGTGATTTGCCCGGACTCCCCTCTGCTGGTTTTAGGCAGGCCAGGTGGGAGCCACACGCCCACCTCTCCTTCCTGCTCCTTTGTGACCACTGCACCTGGAAGGAGAAGCAGGTGAGGAGGACATGCAAAGCTGTCAAATGCCATGCGGCATGGTGGCGAGGCTCCCAGGCCCAGGACTGAAACTTGACTCTGTGTCTTCTAGCTGTGACCAGAAGCAAAGGAGGTAAGTGCTCAACTTCCCCAACTGTGAAATGGGGCCGGCAGGGCCTACCTCAGTGGGGACCAAAGATGAGGAAGGGAAAATACTGCATGGTTAGCTCTTATGAAACAGCTGCTCACTCCCCTGATTTGATCTCCACACACTGTATATGCATATCGAATTAATGCACTGTACCCCATGCATATTTGTGAAATTAAAATAATAATGATTATAAAAGGAGGCATTAGCTAAATACGCAGTGTGCAGCTGAATTTCTCTATACCTGGGACATTGCTTCTTTTCTAAACCTTTCTATTGCAACAAGCTGAGAGGTAGAAATTCCTCCCACCACTGCCCCCCATTCTATTTAACTCCTTAATTCCTCAGTATTCACTTCTCCCCCACAGTGTAGCAGCCATGTGGTTTGGATGGGTTTGATCTCACTTTGGCTCAAGGAGTGGTTGCTGATGAATATAAACCAATCCATACAAACCCATCCTCCTGATAATAACAATGAGTTCAAAGAAGAGCACACACCCAGGCCTAAACCAATCAGTTCACAGCATTCTCCTAGCCATGGTGATTGGTTCATAGTGAGCCTGTGGCCCAACTGAGTCTTATCAGAATGATGCTCCAATTTAATTTTTAAGGCTAAGGGGAGAAAACCTCTGTTTTATCCCAGAGGGTAAGGTATGCAGATATGAGTCTTGGAACAATAATAGCACTTTCTACTTCCAGGGAAACCAGCCTAAAAATGAAGCTAAAACACAGTAAAGAGCAGAGGCAAGAGCATTAAAGGAAAATGGAGCTACTACCTTGATCAATCCCTACCTAAAGCCCATATTACTTCTGAGTTTATACAAGCTGTTGCATTCTCTTTATTGTTAAAGTCAGTTTGAGGTGAGTTGTTTTTCTTTTTGTTTCTGCAACCAGAAGCATTCATCACTGATGTATCCCCTAGATGCTCCAAGTCCTTACCCACTTCCTTGCGCATCTTATACTCGTTGATGTTGGCATTCACATCCTGGAGGGCAGAGGCAGCCCTCTGTAGGACCAGGTAGGCACTGGCATCAGGGAGTGTATTCTCCAGGATTTTCTGTAGCAGCAATGGGTACCTGGTAATCCTCTGCAGAGGAATTACCAGTAAGAAACTGAGGCCTGAAGGTCCAGCTTGCGGCCTGAGGGAGAAGACTGGTATTAGGTAGGGAAAGCCCACCCTTTAGGGGGCTGAGGGGCCCAGCTGTAGGCCCAGCTCTGCCATTTAACTTGCTCTGTGATCTTGGGCGAGTTACTCTCCCCCACGGTCTTCAGTGTCCTCATGTGTGATTTGTGAGGTTTACGTGGGCAGTGACAGTCCCTTGCTTGCTCATCTGTACCGAATCCAATTGTCCATCCTCTGCCCTCAGTTTCCTCAGCCTCTCAGCAGCAGACGCGGCTGACATTCCCTTATCCTTGATATACATTCTTCTTTCAGCCTCAAAGACATTCTCAGTCTTGCTTCTCCTCATTCCACAGGCCACTTGGCCCCCTCTGCTGGCCTCTCTCTACTGTTGGAGTGTCCCGGGCCTCCTCACCTCTCTTAGTGACCTCCTCTGTTCCTATGGCCTTAAATATACCCCAAACCCATATCTCTGCCCTGTCCATGTGGCCAATTGCCTACTTGCCCTCTCTACTTGCACATGGCCCAAGCACAACTCTTTGTTGGGTACCTACATGATATTTCACTAAACAAAATGGTCTACTGCTTCTAAAAAATGGTTTTGAAATCACAGGAACTTAATTTTTAATGTGCATTTAAGTATTCAGGAGCAAAAAGTCATAATATCTATAATAGACTTTAAATAATTTAGCATAAAAATAGATGGTAGGGTGGCACACCTGCAATCCCAGCAGCTCGGGAGGCTGACACAGGAGGATCACAAGTACAAAGCCAGCTTCAGAAATGGCGAGTTGCTAAGCAACTCAGTGTGAGACCCTGTCTCTACATAAAATACAAAATAGGGCTGGAAATGGGGCTCAGTGGTTGAGTGCCCCTGAGTTCAATCCCTGGTTACCCCACACACACACAAAAAAAATGGGCTGGGATTATGGCTCACTGTAGAGCACTTGTCTCATGTGTGTGGGGCACTGGGTTCAATCCTTAGCACCATATAAATAAATAAAATAAAGGTATCATATATATCTACAACTTAAAATTAAGAAAAACAGATGAAGCAAGAAGCACAATGTTAGATTTTGCTCTGTTTAGGTGGTGGGCATGTGAATACCCATTACCTTGTCCTATTTTTCTATAGGTATCAATTTTTTTCTTTTTTAAAAAAATAAAACAAGGGGCTGGGGCTGTAGCTCAGTGGTAGAGTGCTTACCTAGCACGTGTGAGGCACTGGGTTCAATCCTCAGCACCACATAAATATAAAGAAAGAAAGGTATGTGTCTCTCTCTCTCTCTCTCTCTCTCTCTCTATATATATATATATATATATATACACATACATATATATATTTAGTTGTAGATATATACCTATATATAAAGATTTTATATATATATATATATATATATATATATATATATATATATATATATACACACACACACACACACACACATGTATTAAAAAAAAAACAAAATGAGGGGCTGAGGTTGTGGCTCAGTGGTAGAATGCCTGTCTAGCATGTTTGAGGCACTGAGTTCAAGTCTCAGCACAAAATGTAAATAAATAAAATAAAGGTCCATCAACAACTTAAAAAATTAGAAAAAAAAACGAACACCTCATGGTGGCAAGGTCCATGCCAGATACACTGCTAATGGCTGGATGGCATCTAGAATTTCATCAGGAGTCCAGGGCAGCTGGGGAGGGGCTCCGAAAGGCTTTCCTTGATCACAGCCAGTGGCCCGCTGGCCTGGCTTCCAAGAAACCCCCAGAGATCCAAACCTCAGATGTCCAGTGTGTCTCCTCCAAAAAGACTCACGAGTACTCCTCAGGTCCATCCTCTGGCCCCTCTTTATTTTTTTTTTTTTTTAAGAGAGAGAGGGGGAGAATTTTTTTTTTTTTTTTTTTTTTTTTTTTGTAGATGGACATAACACAATACCTTTTTTTTTTTTTTTATGTGGTGTTGAGAATTGAACCCGGGTCCCGCCCGTGCTAGGGGAGTGCTCTACCACTAAGCCACAATCCCAGCCCCTGAACCCTCTTTGACGGAGCCCTCACCTCTTGTTTTTCTTAAGTAAAAGTCTCCAGACCAAATGTCCAGGAAAGAGCATCCATGAGGCTAAGAATAGACAGAGCAGGTGGGAGCCCCTTTGGGGACTGCGGGGGTGGGGAGGCAGGGTGGGATCACCCATCGGGACATGCCTACACTGTCCATCTGGTCTCACCAAGGGTGTCCTGGAGCTTGGCTAACTGTGGGCAGTGGAGGTGGAAACAGTTGGCAGATATTTGCAAAGCTCCATCCTCTGGGCTTGCTTTCCACGGGAAAGAGCCAATTGCCTCCTGGGGACAACTGTCACCTTACAAATCAGTGAGGGCTCCTTAAGAGATGATTCCATCCCTTTCCTTCATGATCATCATGGCGTTGCTACAGAATGCTGGCAGCCACTCACATTTACAGGCTCTCTAAGGTAGCCTGGAGAGAATTTGTTTTATTATGCTTTGTTTTAATTTGGCTCCATGGGGATTGAAACCAGGGCCTCACATGTGCTAGGTAAGCACTGTACCACTGAACTACACCCCCAGCCCTTTTTAAAATTTTATTTTGAGACGGGTCTCTAAGTTGCCTAGGCTGGCCTCAAAGTTGCAATCCTCTTGCCTCAGCCTCCCCCTCATCCCCAATGGCTGGGATTACAAGCATGCATCCCTAAGCCTAGTGAAGAAACTTCTATGTGGCCTTTCAGATAGGGGGGAAAAAATCCTGAAAACTGATATGCAGAGCTGGGTGAATGTGATGAAAGAGGGCTTTTTATAGTCTCTCGTGGGTCATCCCTTGGGCAATTTGTGAAATGTACAAACCCTTTGCTCCATCAACCCCAGCCTAGAAATCCACCCCACAGAAATACTGGTTCAAGCAAACCAGGATAAAAGTAGAAGTTACTCAGCAACTCTAGGATTGCCAACAACTGGAAACAACCCAAAATCCACCAACAGGAGAACGATGGAGTAAACCAGAATCTAGTCACTGTCCTGGGAGGAACTCTATGCAGGGATTAAAAAGAACATGGGAGAACTACCCATACTATTATAAAAAGATATTCCTGGCTATGATTAAATGAAAAAGAAAGTTTAGAACAGCCTGTGTCGTAGGGGTACCTTAAAAATTCTGCCTGCCAATCTATCCATCTATTTGCAAATATACAGAAGAAAATTTGAATGGGCAACGTTCACTGCTGAAGGAAGAATGAGAAAATGGGAGACAAGGGAGAAGGGGCTTACAGTTTTTACTTTACACATCTGTGTATGGTCTCGTTTTTTCAATGAGTATTTCTGACCTTTATATTTGAAACAAACACAAGTTAACTGGTAAAGGAAAAAAAAAAAAAAAAAGCAGGTTTTTGGCTTACTCCAGACTGCTACCTCAGCCGCCACTCTGGAACTTGGGTGCTAGTGCTACACTAACCAATCCATCTCTGCAAGGAGACTCCAGGGTGGTCCTACTTAACAGGGAGCTTCCGCCGGCCACAGGGATGAATCTTTGGTCCCTTTGGTTTCTCAGGGGGAAATGCTGCCTTAAAAGACAGGACAGGGCTGGGGAGTGTAACCCCTGGGTCCCCGTCCCCACCCCCCAGCACCATGGGGTGGGGGGAGGATCAACAGAACACCCTGCTTTCTTACTCACCCAAATAAAGGGTAGAGGACAGCATGCATTTTGGAATCAAAAAGATTCAAAATTAGAAAAGATTCCTAATTAGAGGTACCATTTCTCCTGACAGACTGAGAAAGGACCGTTTTTGGCAGGTGAGGTGATTCTAGTTGGCCAAGCTCAGGGAAATATCCTGTGGTCATAAGCACAAGAAAGCCAAGACCATTGTTGGAAGAGGGAGGAGACCCAGAGCCAGGAAGAACTTCATTACTGACGCAGCCAGACGTTCCTACTGAGGGCAGTTTGTACTCTTACAGGCCGGGGGAGACCACCACTTACTGGGCAGGGTCCAGGTACCCTGGATGTCTTGCGTGCACAGTCCTGCACTGCTAAGAATAGCTCCATGATTCACATGTCCCTCTGAACATCCAGAGCCTGAACACAGGCCTTGAAACATGCTGTGATTTCAAACACCAAAATATGCTTGTGACACCTGGACTCTATCCAGTCACATAGCACAACTCTGGAAATTACCAGTCACTTCCTTTTATATGTAAGACTCCGGTCACGTGCAAGAATATCCCCCTGGCTCATTTTCTCCGCCTCCCCAGGGGGTCCTATTTTCTGTGCTTCCATCATGTTTTTTTTTTCTTTCTCTTATCAAATGCAAGGAAGTCACAGTTGTTTGCCCAGCTAGTTGCTGCCGCTGGGCACGTACCCTCTCTGCTCCTTCATTTTCCTGGGCCCCTTGAACACAACTGCTTCAGACTTCTCTTTCCTTAAATCCAACCTTATTTATTTGAAGCAGACGCAGCATCTGATGGCTTCATTATATCTTTAAGTGTTGCCGTGCCTGAAGATTTACACACTAAAATAGGTATTATTTTATTAGGAATTATTTTCCTTGTATTTCTTCTCTGTATTATAGTTAAGTCATTATATTGTGCTTTTTTTTCATTTATGTATATAGGTAGGATTTTTCTTAATAAATGTATTTAATATTTCTTAAGAAAAAGGGGGCACTGGGACTGACAGAGTTAAGAACCACAGGGCAGTCTCAGAGAAAATACAACCCCCGCCTCACTAACATAACCAGAATAGCTAGTATTTATCGAGTGTCACTTGTGCGTCTGCGTCTGTGCTCCAGGAGGTACTGTTATTACTCCCACCTTCCCCATAAGGACACTAGGTTCTGACATATGAAATAGCTCTTCCGTGATAAGGGGGCCACCAGATCCACCACCAGGCAGCCTAGTTCCAGGGCCTATGAGAAAAGCTGAGAGGGCAGAGGGTGAGACAAATAGCAGCCTTGGTGCCAACCGAGGGCTCCCCTACACGGCTTCTAGCATGTCTGAACTAGATGCCAACACATAACTCCTGGGAGGTGTTACATCCAAGTTTCTGGATTCCTGTGAAAAATCAGAGGCTCAGGCCCCAAGGGACTCACATTCCCACCTAACTATAGAGGCAGATGATTTAAAAAATTGGCTGCAACAGTTTCCCTCCCTGTTTTCCAAATTCTTTGAACTTGAATTTGAAGCCATTCTCACCAAGAAGGGGAAGGTGTTCCCTATCCTTTGAGTCTGGACTGGCCTTAGGACTTGATCTGAGTGACAAGACTCCACAGGCCTTGCCTGCCCCCCTAATCCGGAGAGCCTTGTAACCATCCCCTGAACAAGGCAGCCTGCAAGAAGAGAGCCCACGGGATGAGGGTAAGTCAGTTCCAATGTCCCAGATACAAGACAGAGCCCATCCAAGATCAGCAAGCTGACCCCAAGTAATTATAGTTTCACGGGGCTGCTCAGCCAGGACCAGAAGAACCATTGGCTCAGCCCAGTTATGTTGCTAATATACCTAATATTTAGTGTGAACTAAATAAACATCTGTTCTCAGCCACTGTGTTTGGGGTGGTTCATTATTCAGCAGAAGCTACCTGACAGCAGCAGTGCCCCAAGGCTGTGTGACAGCCAGCTCACACAAGGTGTGCCGTTCCCCCGGCACCAGCCTCCACGGCTTTCCTGTCCCACAGCTGGAGCCTCACCTCCCTGACTTCTGAACCCTGCCTAACTCCTACAGAAATGTATTTAGTGATCCTTGCAAAAGTCTGCATCTGTACGACCCACGAGGGGAAAATGAGTGTGGTTTTTTGGAGGCAGGGAGGAGCTGGGATCTGGGTACTTGAGAAGGAGAATTTGGTGGAAAGAGGGAGACTGAGAAGAGGGAGCAAAGACAGAGGAGGAGAGGAGGTGGCTGGAGGTTCCCTCTGTGATAATCATATCTGGAAAGACCTGAATCTACACTCTCTTTCTCTTGGATGTAAAAGGGATGTATGAGTAAAATGAATTAATAATAATAACTCTATCCTTCCTATAGTACTCTGGTTTTCAGAAAATGACCTTCATCTGCCTCCATCTGGTGAGTTGTCCTGGGTGAGATATTACCTTTTCTGTGTTTTCTTTACTGGTCATTGAACCTAGGGCACTCTACCACTGAGCTAAATCCCAAATCCTTCTTTTTCTTTTTTTTTTTAATTAATTAATTTTTAAATTATTATTATTTATTTATTTATTGTACAAGGAATTAAACCCATCCCTAGGTTCACATTCCCAGTCCTTTTGTATTTTTTATTTTGGGACAGGGTCTCACTAAGTTGCTGAAGCTGACTTTGAACTCATGATCCTCTTGCCTCGGCTTCCCAAGCTGCTAGAATTACAGGTGTGTACCTCTCTCCTTTTTATTTATTTATTTAATTTATTTTCTTTTGAGACAGGGTTTTACTAAGTTGCCAAGGCTGGCCTTGAACTTGGCAATCCTCCTGCCTCAGCCCCCTGCGTAGCTGGGATTATAGGTATGCATGACAGCACCCAGTTATAATTCTTTTTTTATATATTTTTTTTAGTTGTTGATGAATCTTTATTTTATTTATTTATATGTAGAACTGAGAATTGAACCCAATGCCTCACACATGCTAGGCAAGTGCTTGCTATACCACTGAGCCACAACCCAGCCCTCTTTTTTTAATATAGAAAAGAAGCAGAAAATTTTTGCAGGAAAGGACAAATAGACTCTTAAGTAAACAAAAAAGATGACAAACCTATAGATGCAAAATAAAACCACACTGAGACACCACAACAGGCACTCTGACCTGTTGCTAAGGGGTATGTAAATTGGCATTGCCTTTACAGAGAGAAATTTAAAGTGTATCAAAATTATCCATACATATTTCCTTTGAACTAGCAGTTACATTTCTGGAAACATACCTTACAAATATACTTACACCAAGTAAAATGACTTAGGTTTGGGGAATAAACATTGTAGCTCTCTCTGCAATATCAAAAGAATGGAAACAAACCAAGTGTCTATCCAGAGACCAGTTAAATACTGTAGCCCAGATACCTCGCGGAAGGGTGTCTGAAGGTCAAAGGGCCATGATGTTAAGGATTGAAATAGAAAGACCTCCAAGGGAGATATATGCATAATCGAGATTTTTTTAAAATGACACAAACTGGGCTGGGGGAGTTGATCAGTGGGCAAATAACCTGCCTAGTGCCTGCCTGGTTCAATCCCCAGTATCCCAAAAAAATTTTTAAAAAGATAAAACTTTCATTTAAAAATCAGGAAAATAAGTGTATATATTTGCAATTGCTTGTATGTACAAAAAGGAACTACACAAAGAGACATGAAATATTTAAAAGTGGTTACCTTAACTTTGGGGACAGGAACCGGGTAGATGAAGGGTCGGGGTTGGGAAGATTCTTTTGCTATATTAATATTTATGTTTTACAGTTTTTGACTCATATAACTAAGTTATTCATTCAAAATTTAAATTAAAAAATACTTTCCCTGCATTTCTTTATCTGGAGTGTGTAAATATGGATGCCAGCTCTGGGCCATGAGGCAACTGGGAACAGTTCTGACACATTTTTATGTGGGCTTCAGCCATCTATAAAAAGGGGGCCCAAAGTGATACACACCTGCTTCCCAACCCCACTGTTGACAACCCTTGGTTCCTGGTTCCCACCATGTCACTGCCCCTCTCTGAAGTAGCATGAGTGTTATTCACTAAGTGTTTCTGCTTTTTTGCCTCTGGATACGTGGCAGGATGGGGCTCCCCACCTCCTAGCAGGTGGATACAGCAGTGATTAGTCCTAGCAAATGAGCTGTGGACGCAATGGGTGTTATTTCTGTACCAGAGCATTTAATACCAGTGACTGACTTCTAGAGCTCCTTCTTCCCTTGCCATAACTTCTGCCAATACCCCAGAGGGTGGCTGCTATGAGCATGCCTCCTGGAGTGAGGGTGATAAAGGAAAGAGCCTGAGATGGAGCATAAAAAAGACATCAACCTTTGCCATTGAATCCACTGCAATTTGGGAGCCATTTATTTCAGCAGCATGGCCTGGCCTGTGCTGACTATAAAGGTACTGATATTAACACACTCCTGAAGCAGCATGAGCAACCCCAAGTAGGACTAAGATGGGAACTGTCCCGCTGAGCTCAAGGTCAGTGGGGCAAGAGCAAGGGTTCAATGCTACTCACACCACTGCCTCAATGGTGCTCTGGATCTTCTGCTGCAGCTCCGGCTCCTTCCGGTACGTCTCCAACAGCAGCAAGGCCTGGTCATAGCTGGCACAATAGACCTTATAGACTCGCTCAAACTCCTCTTGGAATTCCAAAAATAATTTACCTAACAATGAACAAGCAACAAGGGATTATCAAGGGCATGTCCTCTTGCTTAGAGGAAGGAGGCAGAAGGTGAGCTACCCGGTTCTGCGGTGAGACTGCCAGGCTTCACCAACATGTTGCTGTGGGCAAGTGACCTCCTATTTCTGTCTTTTTATCTGTTCCATAATGTTGCTGAAGGACTGAGTGACACAATGGTGAAGTGCCCAAGCTGTAACCTCCTAGTACAGTTTGAGTATCCTTCATCTAAGATGCTTGGGACCAGAATCATGGGATCATAATGTATTTGCACATACATTATGAGATATCTAAGGGGTGGGACCCAAGACTAAACACAAAATTCATTTATGTATCATATAGACCTTGTACACACAGGCTAAAGGTAGTTTTATGCCATATTTTTAGTGTGCCTGTGTTTTGACCATGACTCATCATAGGTCAGGTGTGGAATTTTCCACTTGTGGCATCATGTCAGCACTCAAAAACTTTTATATTTTGAAGAGTTTCAGGTTTTGGATTTTAAGATTAAGATCATTGTAATGTCATGTGTAGCTAATAAAAAAAAAAAGATTAGGTATCATCAACCTATACAGAATAAACAGTAGCTACAATTGCTGCAATAATAGCAAAGATGCCCACATTTAGAACTGCCTTATGGCTTACAAAACACACTAGTGACCATCAGCTCATTTTATCTTTGTGATTAATTCTGTGCAGCACATACAGTCAGGAACCCCCAAATGTACCAAGGAACACATGGTGCAGTACAGGCAGCATAGAACAGGTAGTTGCAAACAAGTGAAGGCTTTAGCATTAGAAAGAACTAAGGCCACATCATGGGGCAGACTTTCCCCAATCATGTAACCTGGGGAAAGATTTGATTCCTCTGACCCTGCGTTTTCTCATCTATAGTATGGGCATAAAATTAGTACTCACTTCCAATAGTGTGTGTGTGTGTGTGTGTGTGTGTGTGACAGAGAGAGAGAGAGAGAGAGAAAGAGAGAGAGAAATAATACATGTAAAGCACCTGAAATAAATTTCACTCACCAAATATTGACCAACTGCTTATTTATTGACTATGTGCCAGGCACTCTGCTAAGCTCTGTGAACAAAACAAAGCCCCTGCCTCAGGGGTTTATAGCTTACTGGGGAAGACAGGCAATAAATACGGCAGTCCCTCCATATCCATAGGTTTTGTACGCATGGACTCAAACAACCAAAGATCAAAAATATTCAAAAAGAAAAATGTGTCTGTACTGAACACACCCAGGCTTTTCTTCTTGTCATTCCCTGCAAGCAATGAAGTACAACAGCTATCTATGATTGTGGTACCTGACAGGGTCCTGAAACCTGCCGCCTGCAGATACCAAGGGATGACTGTATACTACATACACCAGGTAGTGACGAGTGTCACAAATTAAAACAAAGTAAAATAAAGAGAGAGTGGCGGGGAATCTATTTGGGGAAAGACTCCATGAAGATACAAGCGAGCATCTATTAGAGACTGGAAGCAACCAGCCCTGGGAACTCAGGGCAAGCGCAGTTCTCTGGTGTAGGATGAACAAAGACAGAGCCCAAAGGCAGGGGAGCCTCTGCATGAGGGGGCTCAGCTGGAGCAGAGCGAACAAGGACATAAGGAGGAAATGAACACGAGACTGAAGCCCCATCATGGAGGGCCCCGATGGAATGAGGCACAGTAAGTTATGCTAATCTTACTTGCCATCTTAAGGTGTCCAGATTGCATTCTACAAGGGTGGCAGGAAGCAAATGGAGGGTTTTGAGCAGGGGTGATGTGATCTGATTTCGGCTCAATTTTGGGAACATGTACACTAAAGCTGCAAAGCATAGGGAAGATTAGCACAGCCCCTGCAGAAGAGTGAAGTGCAATTCATGAGGTGTTTCATGTTTTAAAATAAAAAAACTAATGAGATTAGTGGCTTATAGTGGGCGGAAGGAACAAGGCATGAAGAATGAGGGAATGGGGGTGGCCCAGTAGGGAGGAGAGAGGGGGAGCCATGCTTCATTAAAATGACTTTTGTGTATAACTCTGACTCTTGGGACTGTGGTTATTTTTTCTGTAAGCCTAAAAGTGCTCTAAAAGGTCGGGGGGTCTGAAGGTGTAGTTCAGTAGTAGAGCACCCTTGGGTTCAAATTCCAGTACCAAAAACAAAACAAAACAAACCTGAAGAGCATTTGGTGGCCCAGCAGTGAGAAAGTGGTAAGAATGAAGACAAATGTGTTAACCACAACAGGGAGGTGGGAACCAGGGCCACAGGCAGGACAGGTGACCTTTCTGCCTGCCAAAGTCATAGACTGGGTCTCTATCCAAGTCTCCTTTGGGACCATCAGATGGTTCTCAGTAAATTTCCACACATGACATCACCACCCCAGGACCTTCACTAGTGCAATCCAGCAAATCCTCAGGGATAACTCCTGGGAGAAGGCCTAGGGTCAGGAAGAAGATGACCAGGAAAGGAGACCCCCAAAGCTTGTATCTGGGGAGAATCTGTGGGGTAGAAGGAGGTCAGCCAGCTGCAGAGCAACTCCACTGAGAGCCAGTGTGGACCTGGCCACGAAACCTAGAGCAATTTCTCCATTCTCTCAACATAGGGATGTTCTCAGGAATGTGAACATGTTAAAGACACTGTCACACCATTGTGGACAGGGACAGGGGAGTTTCAGTAACTGAAGAGCAAAGGAAGGGAAATTCCCAGAGAGTGGAGAGAAAAGCAGGATGTCCAGGACACCAAAGTAAAGGCTTTTCCCTCCCCTTCTTGTCCTGACTCATTTAGGAGAAAAAGAAGTCTGTTAAAAGACTGTTGTGGGGCTGAAGATGTAGCTTAGTGGTAGAGTTCCTGCCTAGCATGTGTGAGGCCCTGGGTTCCATCCCCATTACCAAAAAAGTCTTGCCTGAGGTCCAAAAATCTTTAAAAATGCTGTTGCTACCCCATAGGAAAAGGGCTTTCCTTGCATAGCACGGCCTGGGAAGAGAAGTTTAGCAAGCAGGAGCCAGAGTAGCCTGATCTGGCACATGGCTGCACCTTTAAGAGGTGATTAGGTCACGGGGACCAGATATGATTTGAGGGCCCTACTGCCTCTGACATGTTGTGTTTCAGGGATCCCCAAACCAAACTCCCAATGAGACGCACTTCCATAGAATTCTAAAGCCCGTTCCCCGTATTCTGCAATGACCACGTGCTAAGGACAATTCCACAGGAAGTGAAGGCCAATAACTCCCTAGGTTTTCTACTTACCAATTAGGTACACTTGCTCCTCTTCCTTGGAGGCCGTCTCCTGCAGACCATGAAGAAATCTGCTGCTCACCTGGATGATTTCATCCATGTTTGAGAACAGGACATCCAGATCTCCCTGTGGCAGCTGAAAAAACAAAAACAAAGAAGCCCGAGGAGGTCGCTGGGAGTCTGGTAGAGAGACTACCTGTGACTTTGCAGAGTAGCCCCAACCTCTCACACCATCAGTGTCCCACCACCCTCAGGAAGACTGCCTGACCCAGTGGAATGTTTGCAAGGATTTGAAATTTACAAATTATGTTTTTTCACTACTCTGCAAGGAGAAACGAAGACATGGAGTACTCAGCATGCAAAAGAGGCTGAACGAGGGCTTCATTCCTAGGTCTGCTGCCAACTGTTACTTTTTTTCTCCCTGTTTCTCCATCTGTCATCTGACAATGGGAAGTTAGATTTCTTGCCAGCTCTGACATACTTGGCATCTACCATCATTACCTGGAGATGTACTCCAAACTCCAGTCCCTATTAACCAGACTACACTACTGTTAAAAAGGGTGCAGGACATCTATATGTACACACCAGTCCCTCTACCAGACTTCCAGCACCAAAATGTGAGCTGGATGCACGTCAAGAGGGAACTGTGGTACAACGTCTATAGTATGCTCTTATTTTTGCTAAAATGAAAAACAACATATATGTTTGTTTTAGTGCCTATTATTCTGAAGGGTAAAATAATAGAGGTCTTTTATCTTCTACATTATCTATTTTGTTATTCATAATCATTCAAGAATCACTAATCAAGCCAAGTGTGGTGGTGCACACCTGTAATCCCTGTGACTTGAGGCTGAGGCAGGAGAACTACAAGTTCGAGGCCAGCCTCAGCAAGTTAGTAAAATAAAATAAAGAAAGAAATTTGTCTCAAAATTAAAAAATTAAAATAAAAAGGGCTAGGGATATAGCTCACTGGTAGAGCACCCCTAGGTTCAATCCCCAGTACTCAAAAAAAAAAAAAAAAAATCACTAATTGAATGTCCATGATTTATGTACCCAGACTGGGATATACTGAATTAAACAAAGCCTTTGCTGTTCTGGAGCTTGCATACTTGAAATTCTATAGCAAGATCCTATATTGCTTTTAAAATTGGGGGAAAAAAAAGATGCAAAAAGCGAACACTATAATAGAAACCCACGAGAGTGCTGATTTCTCCAAGTCATCACCCTGTGAAATGAGACAATTAGAATGTAGGTCAGTTTAAGCAATTTGTTCTAAATTGAAAAAGGGCTTGTCCATTAGCTCAATTAATTCTGAGGGGCTTATTCCTCTCCCCATTAGCCCGTGAATAAATACACTGCGACTCGAAGCTATCCAAGGCCTTGCTGGAGGTTGGAGAGCCAGTAAATGGTAGTCCTAGGGCTTACAGAACACTCAGACTTAATACTCACATGCTTCCTTTCCATCAGGCCTGCCCCAGGACAGATGTGAGGTCTCAGAAGCAGACTCACAGTTACCCCTATAAGGATGGCCTATGGGTGGCCCCAACCAAGTACCTGCTGGAGGCGGCCCCTGATGTTGGAGGCACAGAGTTGAAGCATGTGCAAATAGGAGACCTCAGTGTCCAGGAGCTCCCTGACAGCCAGTCTCTGATGGAGCAACCGTCTGTCCTCAGAGCTGCGACCTTCCTCGTCTGGACTCCCTGGTCTGGAGGTGGACTCATGATCACTCATGTCCTCAGGTTCTGGGAAAAACAAAACCATCCTGATTTATTTCCAGGGAGCACTACTGGAAAATGTTGTCCCTAATTTGAAGACAACTATTCATCAAGAGATCTAAAAACATCTCGCATAACAGAGTCAAGATGAAGTGTTGATTAGCCTTTAGGGGCAGTATCTGGACTCTATAAAAAGGCAGACAACAGCTCAGATCAACTGCTGACATTTTAAATTCATTTCCCAGGACTCAGACAATGTGCTTTCCTGGCTCTTCTATTTTCACCACAGCTTTTGACCCAGATTTCTTCATCTGGTTCAGCTCAGTGCCTCTTATCCTCTCTCTCTCCTGATGGTTCCCCCCACCTTGTTATGCCATCAGGACATACAACCTATCACCTGGACTACTTCCCCAGACTCTAGGATCATCCTTCCAAATCCACACCTCTCTCCTGCTGCCAACCATATGCATTCATTCTGAACACGTTTCCAGTTTAAACTCTCTGAAACAAAGCCGTGATCACAACGCTCCCTGTTGTAAGGCTTTTAATAGCTCCCTGCTGCTCAGTGGTCCATTCAGCCTCATTTCCCCTCCAGCAGAAACGAGTGCATTACTTTGCTCCATACTTGCCTAGTCCTGCCCTGCTTTTGTGCTTCTATACCCCTGTGTCTCTATTCTCCAACATACATCTTCTCTTGGGCCATTCCTGGTCCTCCCCCTTTTCACTCCACCCGCTGTACTTTTCTGAAACTCCCACTGCCCCTTTATCTCTAAATTTAAAAATATACAGGAAATAATGTGGACAAGATGACCTGGAAAAAAAAAAAACCTTCCTACTTCCAAATGCTTAGGAATGCCAGATCAGCTATAATAAACTTTAATTTAACTGCATGACAGAGCTTGCAAGAGAGTTAAGGAAATCACAAGGCTCAAAGCCCAGGGAACTGACCTGAGCAGGGAGTAGCTCAGCTGATGCAGCTGTGGTCCTCACAGGGAAGACAGCATGGTCAGTACCAGCAAACTGGGGACTTAACAAGCTCCTTCAACCATCTGGGACCCCCCAGGACTTCAGTAAAATGATAGGTCAGAAAAAAAGAAAGAAAGAAAGTCCACCCACATTTACAGAAAATGTCAAAAATACTTCTCCATCTTGGTTTGGGTCCTAGGTGAACTGGACTTCTAGATTTCTACAATGACTTGGAGGCAAAAATCAAGGAAAATAAAAGGGCTAAGGGGACAGACAACATTTTGGCCCTCTGCCTCCTAGGTCAGCTGGGACGCAGGGAATGACACAATCCCTCTAAAGGGCCCTGCAATTCCAGTGAGACACCCAACCTCCTGATCAGAGGGATCAAAAAGACCCAGAAAGTAGGAGTTACCAGTGCATGTTCTACAAGAAGGAGGGTCACTGAGCAAGAGAATGTCCCCCAACACTTCCAACAGAAGCTATGTGGTCCTCAAGACCTGAACCCATCCCCACAGATGGCACAATGGGTAGAGGAAAAACCAAAGAGGATAAGAAGCTCCCCTCAAGTCCCTAAGAGTAACTCATTGACCTTGAAAGGAAAAAAGTTAATTTGGGGCCAACATGAGGCTGCCTAATTGGGGTCTTAAAATACCCAGGGGGAAGGCATAACCAGAGGCAACTGTGTCATAACAGAGGTAAAGAAAAAACACAATCATGGAGCTATTTAAAAGAAAAAGACCTCCACACGTACATAATTTATGAAATTAGACATCTTCTGACTTTGGCTCCCTCTTGTATTCTGCTTCAAAGTTTACTTTTCAGCTTAAGCATCTGGCCTTTTTCACTTATGAAAGTTGGCCATTGTTTAAAGACCCTTGTTCATTTTCTTATGCACCAGTTTACCACCAGCCAGAAAACTTAGGAAACCCTACGGCTGATGCCCTAATTCCCTCCAGACTGAATGAAAAAAGTTAAGAGGGGAATTTTATGGGCTGGGGATATAGCTCAGTGGTAGAGGGCTTGTCAGGTATGTGTGAAACCCTGGGCTCAATCCCCAATACTGCCAAAAATAAAAAAGAGGTGAATTACAACAGAGACTTTATCAAAAACAGTGACTCTCTTCCTAGGCCAGCAGATGCCCCATAGGTAATATGTAAAAGTCTAGCATCTCTGCCTTCATTCTGTATCTGTCTCCTTTATTACCTTAAACTTTGTGACCTGTCCAGCTCTACAGGGAGACATGTCAACCATTTAAGGATTGTTTATCCAAAACTGCTAACCCAAGGTTTATTAGCCCTAAATTGATCTAACCTGTTTTGTCCCCCTTCAAGACTAGGACAAGATTTGCAGGGACATTCCTTTTTTAAAAATATTTTCTTTAGTTGTTGATAGACTTTTATTTTATTCATTTATTTATATATGGTGCTGAAAATCGAACCCAGTGCCTCACACATGTCAGGGAAGTGCTCTACCACTAATCCACAACCCCAGCCCTTGTAGGGACATTTGACTGTCAGCTTTTACAGATTCCTGGCTCACACCCCTGGAGTTGCACCTAGAAGTCTTCAGTTGTCATCATACACCTTCAAGGAACACTGCGAGGTACATCGCCCACAATGAGACTGTCCCCCAAGCAGGGGCCATCATCTCCTGGGAACTGTATTACCCCCCTTTCAGAATCACAGGTCTGAGAGATAAACCTCCTGAGCAGCAAGTGGAAATTGCCCCCTCAAGAGATAAGAACTTCTCCAGAGCCACCTGGCAGAACCAGAACTCAAATAATGATCAACCAGACCAGTTTGAGGAAGATTGCTTAATTAGGCACACTTCTCATCCCTTGCCCCAATTCTTCCTCCAACTAAACCTAAAGCTCATGGTAGAACTGAGCTATTTGATCTCACTTATCCTTCCCAATATGGCCACATTGATTAAATCTATTTTTCGGCTTTTCACCATTACCTTTCTGTTTGGTTTTGGGGGTAAATGGATGGATCTGGTTTGTTGGAACCCATGGAATCAGGTCTCTGACCTAGGACACTGGAAACAGCTATAGGAGAAATAACGTATCTCCAGGAGGACACATCTTAACCTAAGCTACAGATAACCACGTCCTTCAGATGAGTTTGGATTCCAAAATTACAAGAAGACCATTTCTTGTAATAAGTGAGCACAAAGCAATGAGGAGCAAGATTAGACCCCAAATTATCAGGTAGAAATGATAATACAAAGGGAAATGAAAGGTATTACAAAAAATGAAAACCTATATGATTTTTTAAAGCAACTTACAGAAATTGAAAATTTAGTCTTTGAAGTTAAAAAAACTGATTAAACAGATTAAGAAGACACTAAGGAAAAACAAAGACTAAAAGGGCAGATAGATCTGGAGAAATTTTCCAGATTGCTAAACAGAGAGAAAAATATGGAAAATACTAGAGAAAAATATAAGGGATATGGATGCTCAAATTAAAAAAAAATCCACATAACAAATGCAAGTCCTGGTAGACAAGAATACTAAAAAGGGTTCTAAGAGCCATGGGGCACAACTGTAATTCCAGTGACTAAGGAGGTTGAGACAAGAGGACCACAAGTCCAAGGCTAGCCTCCACTACTTAGTGAGATCATGTCTCAAAAAAAGGGAAGGAGGGTGCTGGGGATATAGCTTAGTGGTAGAGTGCCCCTGGGTTCAATCCCCAGTACATGAGAAAAAAGTAGAGTAAAGAGAGGCAATATTTGAAGAGTTAAGACTGGAAACTATCCAGAATTTATAAAAGATTTGAATACTTAGATCTAGGAAGTACAAGTTCCAAGAAGGATAAGTTTTTGTTTGTTTGTTTTGTTTTGTTTTTGTTTTTTGTTTTTTCCACATCTAAACATGTTGTGGAGAAGTTGCAGGATTCTGAAGGCCTAGAGAATCTGTTCTTGGAAAACTACTTGAGAATTTGTTCCACAAAAACAAAGAAATAAGAAAGAGGAAGATTCAGGATATGGTAACTAAACACTGGAGAGGGAAGGACCAAAGGAATCCTCAGAATAGGTGAGGAAAAATCCTAGGCTTTGGTAGTTGGCTCCAGGCAGAGGGCACAATCTGGATAGAGAACTGCAGAAGGTTCTAGAATGTCTTATAGGCTGGTTTATTGAATTGATACAGAATTTGGTGTTTAATTAGGAATAATTACATAGATAATACATAGAAAACTAAGAAACAAATCAACTAACAAAACAAAACAATTGTTAGAACAACTTTTATGCAGAAAAGAAAGAGTCCTGTCCAGGCTGAGCACAGTGGTGCATCCCTGTAATCCCAGTTGCTCAGGAGGCTGAGGCAGTAGCACTGCAAATTTAAGGCCAGCTGGGGCAATTCTGAGCCTTTCTTAAAATAAAAAGGGTTGGAAATGTGACTCTGTGATAGCATGGCCCTGGGTTTAATCCTCAGTACAGAAAAAAGAAAAAAAGTCCTGTTCTGTCCCCTTAATGAAGAAATGCTACAACTGAGGGACCAAGAAGAATCTGAACAAACAGGTCTTGCTGGGTTTCTCTACTCAGTCTATTACTATTAGCTCATACCGTTTTTGTACAATTAGTTTTCTACATAGTGTGTGTGCTCCACAAACCTAAGCATAAAGTCAGGTAGCTCCACTGGAGCTCCAGTCTGAAGGCTCCTATGTCAGGTACAACTATGATCATATAAGTTTGCTATGTCTTTCTCCTGTTAATCTACTGCCATTGTATTTCAGAAGACTTAAATATTCAACTTTCTGAGGAAAAGTATAAAACTTCCCTGCCTGTGCTTTTTAAAGATAAGAGGTAAATTCTAAAACAATTAGCCAAAAACAATGGAAGGAGTTGTCTTTTGGTAGCTGGGACAGGAAGGAAATGAAGAAAGACAGGCTGTTTTTCATAACATACACTGCAGAATTGTCTGCTTTTCATAATAAACAGAACTATCCATCTCCTTAAAATATATGCTTCTCGTGTCTGGGGCTGGGGCTAGGGCTCAGTGTTAGAGCACTTGCCTCACCTGTGTGAGGCACTGGGTCCAATCCTCAGCACCACATAAAAAT